AAAAAAGTCAAGGATAAAATATATATATATTTTATCCTTGACTTTTTTTTTTGATATACAAATTATCTTTATATATATATATAATCATAAAACGTGTTAGTATAATAATCTTGATAAAAGTTTAACCGAACATTAAATGGTGTACACGTTTACATATACGTAATATTATGCAATCTTTAGTTGGTTAACTAAATTTGAAAGTACAGTAAGAAAAGAAGAAAAAAAGGTAACATGTGTGTGTTGTTTTGATAATATTTTCAAGTCACAATCAAAAAAGGTTAAATCAACGTTAAGAGAATAATATAAGATAAAAAGAAAAAAAAACAAAAGGTAAAAAGGGAAGAATTGGAGCGTACTTTGACACGAATGAATTTCTATGGGGATTAATAATAGACGTTAGAAGTAAGAGAATAAAGTTAAGGGAACGTGATAAAGAAGATCAAAGGGAAAAAGGAGTAAAGAGAAAGTAGATAACTGAGAAACACTTATGTTGGTTGATGTGATAAGAAAGTAAGTGCATACACTTGGTGAATGAGTTCTTCAAAGTTCTTAAGAATCAACAAAAAAAAAATAAAAAAGAAAATAAAAAGAAAGAGAATGTTTATGCAATAATAAAATATAATATAAATAATATATATTTAAATAAAAAGAAATTTGTACAAAACAAGTTTATGTAAAAACACCTTGCCCTATTTTTGAACGTTCTATTACATTGTGGTTGATACCAAGAAAACTTAGGAGATGAATCAAGGTCGTATGTTTCTTCTTATTACCAATGTGTAGTTGTAGTAAATGACAATCTATAGTTAATATATTTATTGATTATTTTTGAGATTTTTGTATTAACAATGTAACTTGATTAGATTATTATGAATAAATTCTAAGCCAACTATTTATAATTAGTGTTTGATTTAAGTAAAAAAAAAAATAAAATAAATTTAAGTATCAATACTTTTTAAATGACATTTATAAATTTAATTAGGTTTATTATTATTCAAGTAAGACAATATTCGAATTCTGTATTAACAATCTAACTCGATTAGATTATTATAAATAAATTCTATGCTAACGATTTTTAGTTAGTATTGATTTGAATAAATAAAAAATAAAATAAATTTAGGGATCAATACTTTAATAACATTTATAT